TTTCTACCTTCACCTGCAGAGGAAACACAAATCATTCATGTGCACATCAACTGAGAGCTGCAGAGGTCATGTCTGATGTGTTGGACTAACATCCATCTGAGACACAGCTTTCATCAGTTCACTACAAAAAGTGTCACAGAGCCGAGTTCAGCCTCCAAATCCTCCATTACTGTAGTCCTACAAAGCAGCAGGTCAAACATGGCTGCAGAGAGCAGCTTTAGGTCGGTAACAATGTCCAGGACCGAGCTGACTGCTTACAGAGTTCATGCTCTAACTGCTAGCTGCTCTGCTAGCTAAGCTAACTACGTAACAGTTAACGCTGCTTCAAACGCGTTCTCCTTGCACCCGGATTTGAAGCATGGGTGGAGTGTATCCTTCTTGGCACACCCTATCACAGGATTCATAGCGAGCCGGGGATTTTTTTTTTTTTTTTTCGAAAAATGGCGGGCAGCTCAAGCGGGGCGACCGAAGCGTACCGAGTTTTATGGCACTTTATGTAGCGACACAAATGTATAGAAGAACATGAAGACATTACTTTTGGCTTGATGACGGCAGTTATGCGGCATTAGGAGTGTTAATACCGCTGGCACTAAGCCCCACACAGCTGATGTTAGCCAGGAAAACATTACACACTAACTTTAATGGAGAGACCGGAAATACAAACACACACAGTTTGTTGTGTGACGAAATCAAACATGAGCTGAACAAACAGTAAAGTCGCTAATGACAAACTGTCAAAGAAGGAAACAAAGCAAACTTACAGTTTCTTCACACAGACACCAACAACAAGCTCCACTTACTCCCACTCCCACTCCAGGAAATTCAGGAAAGAGGGAACCACCCAGAGAGGCGTTTGTGGGTGGGCCTGAGGGGCCATAGCCAACCTCCCTCTCCCAAAAATTATGTTCAGTTTTAATGCAGATAAATTCAAAACTAAATATTTAAATAAACTAAAGTAAAAGCCCACATTTATTAAGTTATCACAAGCTAATTCTGAGCAATCACAATTTTCTATTTCCCGTTTTTCCACAATGTTTTTTCCACAGCAGTAAACTGCAGTCCGTCTGTGGCCTGAACAGTCAGATAGGATGGAGTCATTGAACACAGCACATACGATTTTCTACTGAAAGTAGACAGGGCAAGGCAAGTTTATCTATATAGCACAATTCAACAACAAGGTGATTCAAAGTGCTTTACTGAGACATTAAAAAATAAAAACAAAAAAAAGCAGGATTTAAAATGGGAAAAAAAGGAAGA